ATATATATATATATATATATCTGTTTGGGTTGGGGGTATTTTTGGTCGTCGTGTTTATTAACGAACGGGTTCACACCAATAGAAATAATAAAAAGAAGATGCGTGATGTAATGAGGATTATCCACCACTATAATAATAATAATAACAATAGTAATAATAAGAGAAAAAACGAAAACGCAAAAAAAAGAGAAAAAAGAAAAAAAAAGGGCAATAAAATAAAACGAAATAATAATCATAAAAAGCAAGAACGCTTCATTCTTTTATTTTTGTTTTTTCGTTTTTTTTTGTTTTTCATTCATTTATTTCTCATTGGACTTGTACAGGTTAGATACATACATACATACATACATAGATAAATAGATAAATAGATAAGTCCCCGTATTAGAAGAGGAGACTAGATAGAGAGATAGAGATATATATATAGAGAGAGAGAGAACCGCAAATAACAACAAGAGTGGAAAGTGGGGATGTGATTTGCACAATGTAGTGATTTCATACAATAGAAAAGAAAAGAAAAAAAAAAACTTATGAACAAGAACCACTAGAAGGAATCACACTCTCAGCAAAAAAAAAAGAAGAAAAAAGATCATTATCCCATTTGTATTCTTCGTCTTTTCAACAAGACTCTCTCATACACGCAAAGAAAGAGGGAAGGTGAAGGAACAACAACAACAACAAAAACAATAATAATAATAATAATAATAATAATAATAATAAACAATAAAAAAAAAACATTCAGAAACACAGAGTCCATAATTATATACCATATATATATATATATATATTGTATAAACGCATAGCACTGGTCTTATACTTTTATGTCTCTTCTCTTCCTCTTCTCTCTTCTTTCCCCTTCCAATACGATTTTTGCAATACTTGTTTCTGTTTAAACTATTTTCTCTCTTCTCTTCGTTTTCTTTTATTTCTTTCGGTGTCATCTTATTTCTCTCACGTCGTTATTACTATTATTATCATTAGAATAATAATAATATTATAATAATAATAATTAGTATAGTAACAAGTATAGCGTATAGAGAAAAAGGCAAAAAAAAAGTCCCTAGGCCCCTAGGCACAGCGTGCAGGTATAAGGATCGAATGAACCGAAAAAAGAAAAAAAAGAAAAACGAACAAGCAAACAAATAAACAAACAATGAAAACAAAACAAAAAAAAAAAAAAATTAAATGAATGAAATAAAAAAAAAAGAAAAAGAAAAAGAAAAAAAAGAAAAATGGGGTTATCTGTTATTTTGCACGTGTGTTGGATGCACCCTGTGTGGACCTCACTGCTGTATTATTCGCACGTCCATCACCACTCCTCGCACGGAGACGAGTATGGGTGAAATGAACATTACTGCTGCTGCTTATACCAATAATAGTGCCTGGAGACTCTTCTTCTTCTTTTTCTATTTCTACGGCTACTAACGGTATAATAGTTGTTCTTATTGGGGATGGAGAGGATTGGGTATGCGGATTGGGATCTATTTTCTCACCACTATTCTTATTGTTATCATCATTATTATCATCAACCTCTTCTTCTTCTTCTTCATCATCATCATCGGCAGTGATGGAGAGTGCGGAGAGACGAGTACGACTTCTTCTTGTTGTTGGAAACAGTGCCAAGGATATGGGTGTGGCTTCAGGTTCCTTATCATGATCATCATTATCAATCTCTTCTTCTCTTTTTCCCTTGTTATTGCTATTGTTATTGCTATTCACATTCCTCCTACTTCTCCTTGGTCGCTTAGCCGACATAACAATACCATTAGCAAAACTATCATTATCATCATCATCATCCTCATTAATATTATTATTATTATTATTATTATTATGAGGATGATTACTACGGATAACAGAATCCTCTTCCTTCTTCTTCTCTTCTGTTGTTATTTTCCCAGCAAGACGTGGGAGAGGGCCATACCTCTCTGCACTACCAGTAGCCAAATCACTCAATTCCTCATCTTCGTCACTATTCGCCATCTCTGCAGACCAGAGAAGAGACATTTCATGCAAACACTGCATGGCCTGCTCTCTAGCCCTACTGCAGTTACTTGTGTGTGTGTCGACTTCATCAATGAGACGATGGAGAACACGTGCGTATCCCTCCGCATTGCGACTTTCCCGCTCCGCCTTACACTCCAACGCACACATCTCTTCTTCCATGGTAGTTTGCCGAAGTACAATGGAGTTGCAGCGGCGTCTTTCCATGGCGAAATCCATAGATGAGCGAAGACTGCTGTTACTGTTGTTGGGTGCAGTTGTTTCTCGCATATCCATATTGGTGTTCATAGTAACATTCGTCTTTGTTTGAGTAGTGGTAGTTGTAGTGTTAACAGGAGGAGGAGGGGGAGGAGTATTGGGGACTACTGTGTATCCACAGCGCTGACAGCGTGGTATACTTAATGTATCTATGCTTTCCGTCGTCGTGAGTCCTTTATTACTACTACTACTACTACTACTACTACTATCACTATCACTATTAGTACTATCACTATCACTGTTATTACTCTTCTCTGCACGCACTGTACTGTTCTTATTTTTATTATTATTATTATTATTATTATTATTATTATTATTATTATTATTATTATTCACTTCAGCAAGTCGTAGGACAGCGGCCCGTTCTGCGGCTCGTGCGGCCATCAAGAGTGCTTGTGTTTCCTCCAACTGTGCGAGTGTCTTTGCGTGATGTAGGACGATGGCTTCTTTTTCACTGATGAGAGATGTAATGCGTTGAGTGAGGCCGCGGCGTACATCGTGTAGGTGGCGTAGTGTACGCGATAACTCTGCCTGCAGCCCCACCCGCTCCTGCTCGGCATTTCGCCATTGTTCCTTATAGTAGAATAAAGTTTCCTCCAATGTACGTGTTTGCCCCTCATCTGTTTCTATCTTTGCGAGTGCCCCCTCCATGTGTTGTTGTTGTTGTTGTTGCAATAGTGTTGGAAAAGAGAAGGAACGCTCGGCGGTCCACATGGATGTAGTGGCGGCGACCGTAAATCCCTCTTCTGCGGTGGCGCTGCTGGAAGCCACACCTTCTCCCTGATGACTGTAGACAGAATGAGCCCCACAGCCGTATGCATACGAAGAAGAGGAGAGATCAACCGGATGATATCCACAAACACTATTGGAGCCCTGCGGTAATCGCATGGAGAGATCCGTGTTGCTGCGCAGAGAGTCCCGGCGGCGTTGGTGCTCCAATTGTCGTCGCAACTCCTCCACTTCGCGCTGCAGGGCGGCGGTGTTGTAGCGATTGGACTCGCGATCGGCGTCCCAGAGAGTCTGCAGCTGCAGGAGTTCCTGCTGGCAGAGTTCCAACTTCCGCAGCGCGCAGAACTCCGCCGTGCGGGCGCTGCTGAGAAGTCGATCATTCATCTCCGCATCTAATGATCCCCGCCGTCGCCCGGCGGCTGCGGCTGCGGATGAGAGGACGGCAGGAGTGGTGGTTGTCGTGATGGGCGTGGAGGAAGAAGACGGCGATGGCGGTGGGGGGACGATGGCGGTGGTGGACTGAACAGGGGGACTCGCAGAGGCGGCGGGGGTCTCTCGTTTTCTTGGATTGTATCTGATATCGTTATCCCTATTATTATTATTATTATTATTGTTATTATGATGATGATAATGGTGATTTGTATCATCCTTGTTGCTATTGGTGTTGCTGTTGTTTAGACTTCCCTCTCTGCTGCTCCGTAGTCCAATATGGCATAAGAGTTTTTCCATGATAATGCAATGGAGTGACTGTTAACAAACAACCCGTAGAGTTACACAGAGAGTGAGAGAGAAAAAGAGAAGTTCTTCTCAGATGAAAAATTCCAGTGCTATCGTTATATACGTATATAAATATATATATATATATACTATTTCTATAAAGAGGGGTATGTATTGTGAAAAGGAAGGAAAAGAGTAAAAAGGGAAAAAAAGGAAGAATAATTAAGAAGGGCATAGAAATAGACCATATAAATATATATATATATATACTTTGAGAGTCAATGGACTCACTCATTCAGAACTAATTTTTTTTTTGTTTTTGTTCTCGCGCAAAGACACAGGCATAAATATATAGATAGATATATATTTATGTAAAGAAGGTAAGAAATAGAAAGGGAGAATAATTGGAAGATTAATACATAGATATAGATGCATACACGTGGACGTATATGTATATAAGAGTCTGCTATTGTCTCTACACAAGATACGCAAAAACAACAAAAAAAGAAAAGAAATACACACACACTCACACATATATTTAGAGCGAGTAAAAATAGAAGAGGAAAAGTAATATAATAATAATAATAATAATAATAATGGCAATGAAGAAGACAACGAAAAGACAACAACAACAACAACAAGTACAGCAAAAGAACTGAACGTAGAATAACAAAAGAAAAGAAGAAAAAAAAAAGCAAAAAAAAAAGAAAGAAAGAAAAGTTGAGTCTTAACAAACATACCAAACACATATTTAGAAAACCCGCCAATCTTCCCATCTTTTTTTCCTTTTTTCCCTTTTCCCTTAAAAGTAATCCCTTTTTTTTTTGAAATCATTTTTCCCTTTATTATTTTCTTGTGAGTAGTGGGTCCTTTTACTCTTTTTTTTTTATTTTTTAAAGAGTTGTGAATGTTGCCGGAGTTTCTAATATTTCTCTACCCGTTGCAAAATACACTGTAGAGCCTCTTCCCCTTATTGTTAATATTGTTGTTGTTGCTGTTGGTCTTTCTATTCTCTTTTTTTTTTTTCCTTCTTACTCTTTTTTTTTTTTTTTAAAGCCCCATATATATATATATACATGGGAAGAGAAAGCAAGCTTAAATGGCTATGATGGACCACAGATACTCAAACCACACTATTCTCTTCTCTCTTTCCTCTCTCTTCTCTTTCTCTCTCTATACTCTTTCTATCCTTTTCTTTGCTTTGCCGAGTAACAGTAGTGCTGCTGACGGTTGGGAGGGACCTTCAGCGACCCACTGAGTCGAATCAAACAAGGAAGAGTACAATATCTTCTTCATTTACACATACACACACACACAGTCATATATATATATATATATATATGTTTACATGTACACGCCGTAGATACGCACAGGTGTGCGAACAAAACAAAACAAAAAAACAAGAAACACTCTATATATACATCATACAACCCCTCTCTAGAAGAACGAAATAACAAACACACACACACAAAAAAAAAAAACACTTATACGTAAAAACGGAATACATCAGAGTAAATATCAACTATGCTCTCTCCTGCATCTCGAATTCCCCACACGATGAAGCAGACACAAGAAGAAAGAAAGAAATAAATAAGGTAAAAAAAAAAAAAAGAAGAAACGCAAAATAATAAAATGTACTAACAGAAGCTACTACTCTTCAGTTAATAAATGGTGTAAACTCCACCAGAAGTAAAAAAAGAAAAACAAGAAGAAAAAAAAAGGGAAACTGACTGCGACACGACTACAACGAACACAGACAAATCCCCTTATACAATGACTGCTGTATTCCATCGCGGTTATTATTGCTCCAGCAGGTAAATAACCTCAGAAAACGGATAATACAGACATAGAGACAATGAAAAATCAAACAAACGAATAAACACGCGGAGAAATAAAGTTGGTAGGACGGGAACACGGTAAGAGTGAAGAAAAAAAAGAAACAAACAAACAAACAAAAAAAAAAAGAAAAAAAAAACAATAAACAATAAACCCTGTGATTGATCTCGCAGAACAAAAAAAAACTCTTCAGATCCCTCGTAATAACAAGAACACTGCGAAACTCAATCATAAACACTCACATCATCATTGTGAGTAAAGGAAAAGAACAAAAATAAATAAATAAGAAACATTTCGTTAAAGCAAGATGGAGAGAAAACATATAGTAACACTGTTAAAACGGTGCAAAACGGAAAAAAGAAGGAAAAAGAGGGAATTCAATCGAATTCATCAAACCCCAAATATTCCATTCTATCAGTTTTCCTCTACTTTGTCATTTTTGAAATCCCCTCTTTCCTTTAAGTTTCCCCCATTCTTTTTCGTTTTTTTTTTTTTTTTTTTTTTTTTTTTTTTTTTTTTTTTTTTTTTTTTTTTTTTTTTTTTTTCTGTTCCCTCTTGTTCCTACCACACGATATCGGTTACCACTACCGTAGTGAAGTACTGCCAATACTTCCTATTCTATTTGCTCTCCTGCCATCTCACTAGGGGGGTGGGTATTCTGTTCTCTCATTCTCATCTAATCATTATCCCTATTATCCTTATAAAATGACTACTTTTATTATTATTTTTTCTTTTTTTTTTTTTAATTTTATCTTTTCTCTCTAATGTTTTTTTTTTTTTTTCCATTGTTTAATTTACTTCCTGAAGGAAAGGAGATAGCATATGATTATGCCAATGGAAATCATTACCATTAATTTTCTGGTTGAGGCACATCCTCATCCTCCTCCTCTTCTTCTTCAGCAGAGCGGAGCAGTGCAATCTCACGCAGCATCTCCTTTGCGCTTGTTGCCGATACCTGAAAGCCGCGTATGCGGGAATCGAGTTCGCTCATTAAATCACCAATATTACGATTCAGCACATCCATCGCATCATCATGCTGTCGCCCCTTCACCTCAAGCTCCATTGTCAATGCCTCCTTCTCACGCTTTAGACGCTCGAGTTGTTGCCGCATGGCCCGCACTACATCATCCCTCTCCGCCCCAACATTACCGCTGCTCTGGGGATCTACAGAAACACTTTCACCCTCATGTTGTCTCTGTTCTTGTTGGTGTTGTTGTTGTTGTTCGCTTAACTCACGTTGAGTCTCTTGCAGTGCCCCTAGACGTGCCTCCAGCTGCCGTATGATACACTCCAACTCACGCGTCTCTTCATTGTGGGCGGCCTGAAGATCGAATAATTCCTGTTCTCTTTGCTCAAGAGTTAATAATGCGGATTTCTCCGCTGCGCGTGCGGCCTCTAGCAATACCACAAACTCCTCCAACTTCCCAAGTGTGTCAGTGTACTCCATTCCTTTCACCTCTAGCTCCACCATGAGACCAGCAATCTTGCTGTTCAGTATATCCAACGCTTCTTTATGACTCACCGCACGCCGAGCCATCTCCTCCTTCAGTGAGGCATTCTCCTGCTGCAATTGTCCCACTTGTTGCTCAAGCTCCTCTACACGCAAACACTCATCTGTCAACTCCTGCAGCTTTTCCTTTGTAAGTTCCTCATGTGAGTTTCGTGATATCATCAACAAGTTATGCTGTGCCTGCAACATGCTATCACGCTCACGTCGTTCCTCATCACGGAACCGCTGCAACTCAAGCAACTCCTCCTCTCGCGCAAAAAGATCATTCCGCACACTACACTCCGTCTGACGAGCCTCCTCCAGCAAAACAACCATCTCCTCCATCTTTTCAAGCATATCAGTATGCTCTGTGGCTTGCTCCTCAAGTTCTTCCAAAAGTTCCGCTTCCCGATCCAGATGCAAGCCATTAAGATGATCAAATCCCTCTACCGCCACAAGCAACAATGCCGAAAGCTCCGCCCGTTCCAGAACAATACGATCAAGAAACTCCTCAGTTATTACATTTAACATTCCAATACCACCTAACGCATTCACCTGCCGCATCAAATCAGAGGCCTCATAAGACAAATAATTATTATCAAATGGTCCCTTACCCTCCAGCAACTCCTTACTGCGACGAAAAAGCCCACGCTGTAAAAGCCTATCCACCTCCTCCGCTGAGACACCTTCATCGTGGTTAACATCGAACTCAACCGTCTTCCCGTCAGGAGAAAAGACAACCTTCTTTACGTCGTCAGGGTCAACGCGACAGGCATCCGCTACATCACTCACGAACGCACGAGTCAGCTCCTCAGGCTGCGATTCCAGCACCTGATCCCAACCCTCACCGTCAAACTCCTTCCGGTGATGAGACGTAGTGCGCCTACCAGAACTACGACTTGCCTCAGGTACCCAGCGATCATCGTGGGCACGAAGTTTCTCATTTTCTGCCTGCAATTCAGCCAGCTCCTTATTCAGCTTCTCCACCTCATCATTCAACGCATCATGTGCACGACTCTTCTCCTCATCAGTGCCGCGCAGCTGCTCCAGCTCCTGTTCCTTCGCAGCCAGCTGCTCATTCAGCTTCTCCACCTC